TGGGTCCTGGTATGGTCGCCCAGGCCAGCAGTTTGGGAGGCTGAGATGGGCAGATCACTTGAGGTCAGGAGTATGAGACCAGCCTGGCCAATATGGCAAAACCCCATCTCTACTAAAACTACAAAAATTAGCTGGGCATGGTGGCACATGCCTGTGGTCCCAGCTACTTGGGAGGCTGGGACAGGAGAATCTCTGGAACCCAGGAGGTGGAGGGTGGAGGGTGCATTGAGCTGAGATCGTGCCACTGCAGTCTGGTCTGGGTAACAGAGCAAGACTCCATCTCAAACCAATCCAATCCAATCCAATCAAATCAAATCATATCAAATCATACAATGCAAGTGCTGGAAGGGATCTGAGAGATGACCCACTTCAACCATCTCATTTTACAGATGAGAAAACTGAGACGTAAGGAGGGCACAGCTGACAGGGAAGAAGAGTCGTTAGCAATACACACTGCACTCTAATTCCAGGAGAACTGTAATCAACTGGCCTTTTGATCTGAGTGATGTCTAAGGAGCATGAGGAGCCATGAAGCAGAGACCTGGACATTCCATAGTGAGGCAGTCCAAAGAAAAGCCCAAGACATGGAAAATCTCCCACATATCACTCTTTTGTCCAACTAGAAAGGAGTGTGACTGTTAATAAGGCGAGGGAGTAAGTCGTTAGTCACACAGTGTTGGCCAAGAATCTCTTAGAATCTCTGTTTTGCATAAATTCTGTTGGATCAATGTTATTTCAGAAAAAAAATCAATCTGTCTTTGGGCCCTGGGTCAGAGGTCAGGGATTTCATAATCCCCATGGAAATAAACTTTTTGACAGTTTACACATATGCCTTTTGTCCTCATCCTTATCTATCACAATCACGAATATCTGGTTTGGGAGCTCAATGTATGCAAAGAAGGGATGTCTGCAGAATGAATCTCGGAAAAAGAAGTTGAATTCTGTTTAGGGAGTTAGGATGGAATAGAAGCCAAGGAAACCAGGGTCGTGTTAGCCTTATATACATAATCTCCTTGGTAGAGACACTATCTAAGTAGTTTTATTTTCTATTCCTCAAGAGCTTAAAGGAAAGATTTCGCCCTAATTGTCTGCATTCAGCTGTGTTTATATGTGCCACTAAATGGTTTTATTCAGATTGATTCAGGCAGGGCCATAAAATCAATGCATTGCCACCTAGTCGATCTGATTGGGTTGTTAAAACAAGTGAACTAATCAGACCACTTCTTAAAAATCAGATCAGATCATCTGTGTGTGATTTGCCTGTCCCCTGGGCAACAGGCATAGTAATCAGAAATCAAGCCCAAATAAACTCAACCAAATGCCTCATGTAGTTTTGGTCTGAGCTACCTCCATCCCTACAAGTAAGGGAGGAGAAACATCTGCATGTTTGATCACTTGCACGCACTATCTGAATGGCACCCCATGCACCCCACTGGGTTGGAAATGGCACTGGACTCTGGTCATGTTCGTGCCTTACAACGGGTAGCAGAATCTTTCATTTTACGGGATTAAGGAGCAGTCTGAGGCAGCCGCAATCAAGACAAAGCAGGTATAAAGCCGTTAGGGAGTGGAAAGGAGTGAGCAGTTGCTTCTCACTTCAATCCTGAAAAGGGGAGCTGGATTTGCGAGCAGCCCCCTCCCCCCAAGTGCAGAGTGGGCCTCCTCACTACTTCCTGGCTTTTCCAGGGCCTCAGTCCAAAGAAAGCCTGCATCTAGCTTCCTGATTGGCTGACAGTCATGATCCGAGGGGTCATGACCAAGTGGAGCCAAGTGATCATACCAATAGCAAGAGGAGCCTCCCACCTGGGCTTTAGGTTCTGATTCATGCTTTTAAAAAGACCCTGGTTTGTGGCCTTAGTGGATACAGTCAGTGTTTCTCCATCAAAAATTTGTTCTTGTTGGTGTCCTGGTTTTTTGTAGAACTGAGGAAATTAACCGAGTGCTTTTATCTATTTATATCATGCTTGTGGCCACATTAGTCTTTATGAGAATAAAATCACCACCACCAAAACACGGACTGCATACTAGGGTCTTTATGAGAATAAAATCACGACCACCAAAACACGGACTGCATAATAGCGTTATTCTGAGAAACTGGTCCTAAATTATAAGATAGTAATATGGATTATAATTTTGACATGAAAACAGAAAACCATCCTGCATTGTTTGAGAGATGATGTACTGGGGGTTAGTTAGACTGTTGTGTGTTTAATAGAGGAAGACCTGGCCTGTCCAGGATCCAGACGCTCGAAGCCATTTGCTTTGTCTTCAGGCCACTGGCCTGGGATTCACAGTTGTGGCAACTCACTAGACAAGGAAGGGTGACAACGTAAAAGGAGAATATGACTCTGGGTGACTATGAATACATTTAAGAATGTAAATAAGGCCAGACGCTTAGGCCTATCATCCCAGTGCTTTGGGAGACCCAGGTGGGAGGATTGCTTGAGGCCAAGAATTCAAGATAGGTCTGGACTACTTAGCAATACCCCGTCTGTACGAAAAATGAATTTTAAAAAAGAAGGTACATAAGACAATATGGAAGATACTGGGCAAAGTCTACACCTGGTAGTCAGTGGTCTGAGTCCATCATGATTTGAGTTATTTTTGTTCTAGACTGGGATAAATGTACTCCAAAGCTACTCCTTAAACGTCTCTTCTTGTACCATTTTTGATGGTTTTTGAAAACATAGGTGAAAATAATTAACATGTAAACATTTATTGTGCTAAGGAATATTCTTAGCTCCCATTTCTTCAATCTTTTCCCTTCTGCTAGTGTGTGCGTGTGCATATACACACGTACACACACAGAGCAGGAGACAGAAACTTGCTCATACTTGCACACAATTTTAAGTTTAAATCAAGCCAATGGCAGTCAAACAGAGCCCAGGTGTTTTCTCTCAGGTACTAAAATGATACAAAATAAGCTAATTCGCTTCAAGCAACAGAACACCACAGGAGCCCGAAACCTGTGGCCTTTCCCTCGGAAGCTCCCGTCTTAGAAGCTACCTGAGCTCCTGTCCACTGCACGAGCTGCTTCGTTTCTTTACATTCCTGTAAGGCACCTTGCTCCTAAGATCCAGGCAATGTTTTGACCAGAAGTACCCCTGCCAGCAAGTCTTACCAGCCAAGTAGAAAATGGTTCTTCCTTTTGATCCTTGGCTACCACAAGGCAAGCTTACCAAAATGCATCCATGTTGTTTTCTTGCAGAGCTGACCTTGAAGATGGTAGCAGTTAAGGGGTCAGAAGGTAAGATGAATGGCTGATGTGGAAACCCCGTGGTCAGCAGAGTGCATCTCAGGGCCTTTTCTCTCGGAGGACAAAGCTCTGATGTGGCCAGGAGTCCCCGTGGAGGAGTGGTTGGGTTGAATAAGCGAGCTTGTGTTTTTACAGAAATAAGCCTGGTTTTAAATCATGACTCTGCTCCTGTCGGTGAGATTTAGAGCAAGTCAGGGGATCACTGAATGTCATCGTTCATGCTGCAGTGATGGAGGAAAGCCCCTGTTCTGTAGTTTACTACTGGCACTGCTCTTGGGAGCCAAGGGTTCCTAGACAACTGAATTCTGCTGTGAGGTCTGTAGCTCAGGGAGAGGGTGAGACAGGTGGACTTGGAAAGAACACTTTTCAAGGGTCAATAGAAAAACTCAGTTTTGACGCTGACATTTTGATGTTTGAAAATATCTCCATCCGGTAGAATTTACTGTGATGATGGAAATGTTCTATATCCACTATTCCTCAACATAGTAGCCACTGGTCACCTGCAGTTATTAAGACCTTGAATGTGGCCAGTACAACTTGGGAACTAAATTTTTAACTTTATTTTGTTTTAACTGATTTAACTTTAAGGAGCCATAAATGGCTCTGTGGCTAGTTGTACTGTATTGGACAGCACCATGCTACCATACTGGTTCTCAAATCAGGTTGCACATTTGAATTTTATTGTTTTTGTTTTTGTTTTTGTTTTGAGACAGTGTCTCATCACTCTGTGGCCCAGGCTGGAGAGCAGTGGTGCAATCATGGGTCACTGCAACCTCAAACTTCCTGGCTCAAGTGATTCCCCCACCTCAGCCTCTGCAGTAGCTGGGACTATAGGCACATGCTATCATGCTCAGCTAATTAAAAAAAAAAAATCATAGAAACATGGTTTCATCACTGTTGCCCAGGCTGGTCTCAAACTCCTGGGCTCAAGCAATCCTTCTGTCTCGGCCTCCCAAAGTGTTGAGATTACAGGCATGAGCCACTGCACCTGGACCTTCTGAAGAGCTTTAAAAGGTACTAGTGACTTGGTTCCACACCACGCCATTTAAATCCTAGTCTCTGGTATGGGACCTTTGCATCAGAAGTTGTAAAAGTTCCTTGTGTGTGATTGTAATGTGCAGCCAAAGTTGAGACCTGTGGCTCAAGGGCAGTCAGGGTGCCATGCAGTAGATGTCTGCGTCAACCATGGCTCTCTTCCTGCTGGACAGTTGTGCAACAGAGAATGGCTTGCTCTGGAAGGTCTCTGCTTGGGTTTTCTCTGTTGAGAAATCTGGTAAGTTTGCTCTTGGACAAATCATGGGTGCCTCCAACTTGGGCAGCCTAAAAGACCATGTTTTTCTTAGTCTTGGGTGTGTATTTCCTTGGCTGATAGGATGTGGGAGACACTTTAGTGGGGAAGAGGATCGTTTGGATGAGGGGAGGTGGAAGGGATGTGGACGTACAACCCACAAGGAGAATGAGAGGCTTTCTCTTCAAGTTGTGAACAACTTTCCCTCTCATGCTTGCATTTTCCTTAAAGCGTGCCAGAGGAAAGTTTCATTTCATATGGGTGGTAGGAGGGCTTTTAGTTGGACACAGGGATGTCCTATATTTTTACCTCCTTGCAGAGAAACAGTATCATTGATAACTTGAAACCCAATTAGTTCAAGCAGGAAATGCCTTATTGGGACTGGAGGAGCCAGAACGGGGTTTTAATGAAAAACACATTTTATTTCTAAAGTAACTGGTCTTATGTTTATTCCAGAAAAAGTCCTCAGGGTGCAAAGAAGAGAAATGCAATAAAATGATAATGAGGAGGCCCAGGACCCGCACAAGGGCACTGCTGCAAGCAGTTACTTCAAGAAAACCTCCTGCTGCTCGTCCAGCCCTTGCTGGTGGTGCCCAGCAGCCCGTATTCTTATCCCAACCCAATGTGTGTGGAGACAGCCCTGCAAAAGCGGAGAGATCGTGTGCCCAGAGAGATGCTCCAGGAACGAAACAGAGCAGACGTGGGTTTCCTTCTCTCCTCCTGCCTCCCGCTAGAGTAGGCGGTCCCTTTGATGTCACGGCTCTGTCTTCATGGCCCACTGCGCTAGCTCCAGGCCTTGTGCCCATGGCGGTCTTGCACCACGTGTGAGCCATGAGCTCTCCCAAGCCCCAAGGCCTGGTCTGAAGCAGGCTGATGTGCATCCCTGGCCTTGTTGCTGGGACGCTCACCACAGTCCCAACATCCCACCACTCTACTGCGAGAAGAGGCAAGGGAGGGGGAGGCATACCTCAGAGAAAGAGCAGATTTCATTCAAAGCCTGAGGGAGGAGGCCAGAGCTCCTGGTCCTGGACTCCGTATCCGTGGACTTTTCCTGAAAAGACAATTGATGGCACCTTCACCTTGTTTTTACTACAGAGGCCGGGTCGCAGTGTTGGAGCAAAAGACAACCCCCAAAGAGCGCTTTGTCCCAAAGGATGAGTCCACACCTGCTAACAGTTTCTCTTGTCAAACTAAGCCTGAGGCCCCGAGCGCCACTGCTCAGTAGCACTCACCGTCTTGGTCCTGATGCTGCTGTCACTACACAACTTCTGGGTTGACGACGCAAACACACGTGACATGTAGTATCTCATTTAATTCTCGCAACTGTAATTATCTCCGTTTCATGACGTCCATTTGCAGAAAAGATTAAGTGGCTAATCCTACAACACAATCAAATGGCTTGTCCCACAACTAGAGAAGAGATTGGGAATTTGAACTCCGCTGCAGAGCTCCGGAGCCTGTGCTCCGAAGGGAGGAGTGGGCTGGAGCTCCCCCCAGTGGTCGTCATGTAACCCCAACAATTCTTACCTTCATTGCTGTCTGCCTCGTTTACATTCCTCTTTTTCTCGTTGGTAGCAAGTCCCTCCTCCAGCCTCTTCTTCCCGAGCCCTGGTCATTAAAGTCTTAAATCTCGGATTCCACCCTCCCCGCAGCTGAACCCTTGTTTTCCTCCCTATCCAGAGAGCCTTAACCTCTTGTCTTACGTGTGTCTAACTTGAACCTGTACGGCCTATTCTTTGAGACTCTTTATATTTTAAAAAACCTGCACAGATCTTGTCAAAAAGTTATTTGTACTTCTTTCCACTTCTACAATTAGGCGATCATTGCCTTTTCTCCGATCCTGTAATCTCCCCAACGTATCCGTTTCTTATTCCCGTCCCTTAACTGAACGGAAGTGGGATCGGCTTTTCTGTTCTCTCTAGTACTTCTCCCGCCCCTTGTTCTGCGATTATTACCCAAGAGCTTTGCTGATGTTGGACTCCATATAGCACTGTTTCTAACACTTCCTTGTTTTCCTAAGTGACCCCAGCAACTGGCTCACAGCCTTCTTTTCCCTTGCTAAAGTCCGAGCGACTCAGACATCAAAATTGATCATCTTCCCAACTGTGTACTCAGGCAGAGTTCAGGTTCCACTTCCCCAGGGAGTTCTGTCTTGCTTCCATGGAGCTTTCCACCTGGCTGTCTCATTCTTAAACAGCTTTATTAAGACAACATCGACATATAAAAATGTATAGACTTAAGAAGTGCAACTTGATGTTTTAATGTTACATTATTAAATCATCACCACAATCATGCCAATTAAACGTATCCATTGCCTCTGCATAGTTGCCATTGTGTATGTGCATGTGCATGTGTGTGAGTGTGTGTAGTGAGAAGATTTAAGATCTGTCCTCTCAGCAAACTGCTAATATACAATACAGTTTTGTTATTTAACATCACCATGCTGTACATTAGGTCTCTAGAAATTATTTGTATCTTTCATAACTGAATCTTTGTATCTTTTGGCCAGTATCACCTTATTTCTTCCTCCACCGGGCTCTGGAAACCACTATCCTACTATCTGCTTCTATAAACTTGACTATTTTTGATTTCACATATAAATGAGATTATGCAGGATTCCTGTTTCTGTGTCTTGTTTGTTTCAGCTAGCATAATGTCTTCCAGCCTCATCCATGTTGTAGCAAACAGCAGGATTTTCTTCTTTTTTTAAAATAGTATTCTGTTATATATATATATATATATATATATATATATATATATATACACACACACACACACACACACAGACACATACACACACACACACACATATATATCACATTTGGTTCATCCATTCATCTGTTAAAAAACATTGAGGCCATTTCCACATCTTAGTTTTGTGAATAATGCTGTAATGGACATGGTCGTGCAGAGAACTCTTCACAATCCTGATTTCAACTGTTTTAGATACCAAGAAGGAGGATTGCTGGATATGTTAGCTTTATTTTTAAGTTTTTGGGGAACTTCCATGCTGTTTTCCATAACAGTTTTACTAATTTACATTCTCACTAGCAGTATACAAGGGTTCTCTATTCTCCACAGGAAAACTGTCCCATTTACAATGGCAACAAAAAGAATAAAATACTTACCCAAAGAGGTAAAGGTCTTATAAACTGAAGCTTACAAAACATTTGTAAAAGAAATAGAAAAAGATACAAATAAATAGGAAGATACAAATGTTCCGTACATGGATTGGGGGAATTAACATTGTTAAAATGTCCGTACTACCCAAAGTGATCTACGTATTTGACAAAATCTCTATCAAAATCCTAATGGCACTTTTTATAGAAATAGAAAAAATATTCCTAAATTCCTGTGGAATCAAAAGGACCCTGAATAACAAACCTTGAAAAAGAACAAAGCTGAAGGCATCATACTTCCTGACTTCAAATTATATTACAAAGACATAATAAAAAGTATAGTACTGGCTTAAAGACAGGTGTATATGAGGGATTCTACTAAATGCACTATATAAGTTATAAAAATCTCATCAAAAACGATGAGTTCGTGTCCTTTGTAGGGACATGGTTGAACCTGGAAACCATCATTCTCAGCAAACTGACACAAGAACAGAAAATCAAACACTGCATGTTCTCACTCATAGGTGTGTGTTGAATAATGAGAACACATGGACACAGGGAGGGGAGCATCACACACTAGGGTCTGTTGGGGGAAAATAGGGGAGGGACAGCAGAGGGGTGGGGATTTGGGGAGAGATAGCATGGGGAGAAATGCCAGATATTGGTGATGGGGAAGAAGGCAGCAAACTACATTGCCATGTGTGTACCTATGCAACAATGTTGCATGTTCTTCACATGTACCCCCAACCTAAAATGCAGTTTTAAAAAAAAGTTATCCCATTTCAAATGTAATTTTCTATTTTATTTTATTATATTTTGTTTTGAGACAAAGTTTCACTCTTGTTGCCCAGGTTGGAGTGCAATGGTGTAATCTTGGCTCATTGCCACCTCCGCCTCCTGGGTTCAAGTGATTCTCCTGCCTCAGCCTCCCAAAGTGCTGGAATTATAGGCATGAACCAACACACCCGGCTAATTTTGTACTTTCAGTAGAGATGGGGTTCCTCCATGTTGGTCAGGCTGGTCTCAAACTGCAGACCTCAGGTGATCCCCTTGCCTCGTCCTCCCAAAGTGCTGGGATTACAGGCATGGGCCACCATGCCGTTTCACTGGACATACAGTTGGGTGAAAGATATATTTGGAATAATCTAAGCATCAGTCTACATTATGTATAAATTCAAAAACATTTTTGCACTGTTTCAATACTCCCTGAACCTTTCAGTAAAGCATCAGATCTGTAAATTGCCAGACAATAGGATGGTGTTATGTTGGCACAGAGCACACAGATGCTGAGGAATTGATACAAATAGAGATCGAAGTGACTTGCTAGAGGTCTCATCTCTAGGATGCAGTGACACTGGACTCTCTCCTCAATCACACTTTCTTGCTGTGTCACTCAAGCTGGAAGGATGGCATCATATGGCACTTCTCCAAGAGTTCTTCATCATTTTAGAAAATATATCACTAACAGTGATGCTATTATGTTATTTGAAATCACAATAAATATGTCAGCATCAGTGTTCATTTGTGGCAGGTACATTCCTGGTGGCAGCATGCAGAGGAGAAGGTATTTGGGTACTGGTGCCTCCCATGTAATTCATGCTTGAATATTGACACATTGCAATGCTTTCCTTGAATTTCCCCATTGTGTGACTTAAAATAGAGTGCTATATGACTTTTAAAATTATGTATTTAGCTAGGTTATAACTTTGCAGGTTTTTTGTTTTTGTTTTTAGAGACAGGGTCTTTCTTTGTCACCCAGGCTGGAGTGCAGTGTCATGATCATAGCTCACTGCATCCTTGAACTCCTGGCTTCAAGTGATCCTCCTACCTTGGCCTCTTGAGTAGTTGGGACTACAAGCACATGCCACCATGATCAGGTAATTAAAAAAAAATTTGGGGCAGGTAGAGGCAGGGTCTTGCTATGTTGCCCAGAGTGATCTCAAACTCTTGGCTTTAAGTGATCTTCCTGCCTCAGACTCCCAAAGTGCTGGAATTACAGGCATGAGCCAATTGTGCCTGGTCAGTAGTTTTTATATATATATATATATTTTAAATAATTTCTTCAGGATGATAAAAAAATAGTTTAATTTTCTGCTCTTGTGTCAGTTTGCTGAGAATGATGGTTTCCAGGTTCATCCATGTCCCTACAAAGGATGTGAACTCATCGTTTTTGATGGCTGCGTAATATTCCATGGTGTATATGTACCGCATTTTCCCTATCCAAACTGACACAAGAGAAGAAAATCAAACACCGTATATTCTCACTCATAGGTGGGTGTTGAACAATGAAAACACATGGACACAGGGAGGGGAACACTACACACTGGGGTCCACTGGGGGGCAATGGGGGAGGGACGGGGGGGTGGGGAGGTGGGAAGAGATAGCGTGGGGAGAAATGACAGATACAGGTGAGGGGACGGAAGACAGCAAACCACACTGCCATGTGTGTACCTATGCAACAATCTTGCATGTTCTTCACATGTACCCCAAAACCTAAAATGCAATAAAAATAATGGTTTAAAAGAATTAAATCTAAAAAGAACATTAGACTACCCGGACATGGAATCCATTGTATTTGCACTCTGATCAGGACAGAGTTAGCCTTTGATTCTATTCTGTAGACTTGCAAATGCTTAACTTATACATAGTTCATAAGTCTCTTGTATCTTCACCTAAATTAGAAGCAAAAACTCCATTCTGCTAGTAATTAATATTTACATAATGTTTTATGATTCACTGAAGATTTTATTCAAAGTATTTCATTTGATTCTCAAAGCCATCCCATGAAGTAGGTACTGGTCGTTGTTATTATCCTCATTATTTGCTGAGGAATGCATATAAATAGAAATCAAAGTGACTTTCTAGAGATCTTGTCTCTAGGACAAAGTGACACTGGACTCTTTCCTCAATGACACTTTCTTGCTGTGTCACTCAAGCTAGAAGGATGGCATTATATTGGCATAACACACAGATAAACGTGGATTAAACATTGACTCTGAGCCTCAAAGGAGTTAAGATCTCATGGAATTTCCATGAGAATAAGATGAGGTAACGTACGTAAAGTATTAAGAACAGAGTTTGCCACATGAAAGATACTCAGTGTATTACTTCCTTTCCACATGCCATGGCTTGTAAGCAGTTCACCTAGTTCTTCTCATGGATGCAATAAAACCAAGGCACTAGAGCATCATGGAGAGCTAGAGGCATCCAGTCTATGAGTGAAAAAACGTAAGTGCAGGCTCATATATTAATAGAAAACTTTTTGCTCAATCGGTGGTCAAGACATACTAAAGGACCAATTTTAACATTCTTTCCAGGCTACATTTTTCAATGTTTTTCTTCTTGTACCATCCTTGTTAAAGGGCCTATGCTCTCCTCAGCACAAAGCTAACAGGCACTGGAGCTTGACGATTGAGGGACATGTATAGATCTGTAGTTAACTCCTTACTCAATGGCCTTGGTGGGAAACTTGGCAAACAGGAAGGTGTCTAACCGAGTTGTGGAAATCTCAGAGGGAGTCACCGAGGCCCCTCCACATGGCTCTGAATTTCCTCCCACCCTCATCTCCCAAGCATGGACCCAACCTGAATAAATAGAGGGGGGAGGAAAACAGGAAAGTAGTAAAATAGCCCACTGGAAAGTAAACACACAGCAAAGACACGAGCTTTCTTTCTTCCTATTAGGCTCCATGGGAAGCTGAGAAAAGCAGAATCTATGAGGAAGGCTTCTCTTATGATTTTGGCCCACCTCCAATTCTGTCCCTCTTCCCCCAGCACACGCATGCACACATAACCTGCTTTTTCCACTCCCTGTTCTTCCTAGGTCATAGGCCGATTCTACAGAAGTTCTGCAAGATTATAATATGTTTATTCTAAATTAAGCTTTTGGTGGAATATTATTACCATTTGTTCTGTATTGTTCATTTCCTTCTTTGTGAAACTTTCTGCTAATGCTGTGGAATGTGTAGTGGCTATCGATCTGATCATGACCTGAAATGAGTCACTGTCATAGATGAAAAGCTTTGGACTGGAGGGCTGGATTACAGTTCTAGCTCTGCCTCTGTCACCTTTGAAGTCAGGCCACACCATGTAGCTTCAGTCTTTTTTGTTTGTAAAATGACAGCGTAGGGCAAGATGATATCAAAGGAAAGAAAGCAAGGCACCAGGTATCTTAGTCTAAGGCCATAACCATGCAGAAACCCTTCAAATACTTTCAGATGTGTGGACTTTTCCACACTGAAAATCGACCATAATTCTATGAGAGAACATTCCTCAGACCAAGAGATACACAGACCGGTGTCACAATCAAGTGTTTTA